GTGGGAATGATAGGCTGCCAACACCTCTGTGGCCTCAGCTGGGGATTTGTACCCAGTCGGGGCAATGGCACTCTAGGAAGGAGACAGAGGAAATAATCCTGGCCCCTCTCTCTGTTTTCTGTACCTCGACAGTGGTCTTGGCAAGAAAAAACTGGGTAAAATTTGGGCGGTGAGGAGTCTATGAGGCCTCTAACAGGAACAGGAGATGAGTCCAAAGCTGAACCACACTGACCTAGAAGCCCATTAATTTCTGCACTTTGGGCAGTCTGGAGGACAAATACTAAAGAACTGGTTGAACAAATACATTTTAAGCTGTTTAGGACCAACTTTGGGGCAGCACAGTGATGAGGTGGACCTCCAGATGTCCTGCTCTGTTTCAGTACAGCCCAAGGAATAGGTTCTTGTTCCTTGAGCTACAAAGGTCTCCTGGTGGGCTAGCAGTAAGCTAAGCAGAACTCCTATCGCCTGCCTGATCTTCTTCATCACTTGGGTAAGAATGTGTTAAAGTCCAGCCCAGAGTCCCCAGGATCCCTGCTGATGTTTCACCAAAGCACAGGAGTAGGGAGGAGGCAGGAGGAGAGAAAATGGTGTTGATGGTATTGTCTTTTATCCCAAGCGAATCCAGTTCCCCTGCAGAAGGAGCAGGTATCTCATCCTTTGAGCCACTCAGGAAAGAAATTAGATAAAGCAGTGAAAAGTTTCACATGAGAGGAATATGTCCTGAGGATGGAGTCACACTGGCACTCCCACATCTTCCCACCTCTTGTCCTCTCTCTGACAGCTCATGGAGCAGTAACCCTCTAATGTGACACCAAGACAGATTTGCATTTTCAAAGCTTCTGCTGTTGCTAAGCAGAGTTGCTAACTCTCAGTTTGTCATCCTTTGTGAACACAACTCACAGGAAGAAAGAAATAAATGAAGAAGAGATATATTAAAAACAGCTGATAAGAGCAAAGCAGAAAGCACTTAGAAGTTTTCAAGTCAGATTTAACCTATTGCACTGGTGGCACCTTGAGGTGCAGTTTACAGTGACAATTTCTGCTGCTGAGGACTGGGTTAATGATATGTGTAGCCTCCTCCTCTCCCAGTGAGACTTGTCCTTCCTGGAGACCCATGTTCCCAGATCAGACTCTATTTCATGTTCTGTAAGCCCAAAAAACAAACTTATTAATTCAGGTGAATTAAAAAAATAAAATAAAATAAAATAAAATAAAATAAAATAAAATAAAATAAAATAAAATAAATAAGGAATAATACTGTGTGTGGCAGAACACACCCCATGTAAAGCCCTGCTTGCAGGTGAGCTGTGACCATCCATGGGAGAGCAGCTGAAGGAGGAGGAGGAGAAGGCTTCATCCTTTCATTATGATATATTAGAGGTGATTGGAGGGGAGAAATGCCATATGAAAAATCCAAAAAGTTATGCTAGCCTCAGGGCAGCCTGGGTTTCAGGGAATGGGACAACAGGCAGAGCAGCTGAGCCTCCCTGAAAGCACAAGCAGAAATGCAGGCAGGAGCCTTGGAGGGGGCAGCTAGGGAGCACAGGCTTCAAAATGCTCCGTTGCTTCAACAGTTTCTATTTCCTTTGAGTGCTGAATGTTTTCGCAGGAAAGGGGAAGAAAATCAGAGGAAAAAAGACCAATACCTTTTCTAAAAGCAGACATGGTGGAAAATTTGCAGTCTACTCTCTTGAGTACACCAGGACTTGCTTTTCTTTTTGCCTTGTATGATTACATCTTATATTAACATTCAAGACAGACATCAGGCAGAGATAAATCCTGAATAACTCCAAACTTTGCTTCTTCCATCTCTTCCAGCATGAGGCAGGTTCAGACAAAGCCTAGGCTGGAGGCTGGCTGCAAGAAAAGATGTTTTGAGGGCAGTGCAGTACCAAAGAGCTTGGCTCCTGTACATTTTCTCCAAGCATGAGGAAATCCACGTTTTACCAGCAAGTTGGGATGTCCTATTAACAGAGCAGGTCTTTGCTGGCTGGCATCAGCAAAACAGAAGTCACAGCATGTGTTATGTCCATCAAATAAAGACAATTTAAGAAGCATGTGAAGATCCATGAATCTGTCCTGAGGAGTGCAACAAAGGTGGTGAAATGGCTGGATGAATGTTTTTTGAGGAGCAGCTGAAGATTTTGGGCTTGTCTAGTTTGGAGAAAGGAGGTTCAAGGTAATGGTCTCTACAGATTCCTGAGGAGGGGAAGGGGAGAGGGAAGTACTCAGCTCTTCCTGATATCTAGTGATAGGACATGTGGGAATGACTCAAAGATGTGCCAGGAGAGGTTTAGACTTGGCATCAGGAAGCATTTCTTTGCCGAATGGGTGGACACAATAGGCTTCCTAGTGAGGTGGCTAATGCTCCCAGCCTGTCAATGTTTAAGGGACATTTGGGTAATGCCTTGAACAACATTTTTGAAATTTTGGTTAGTCCTGAATTGGTCAGGCAGTTGAACTGGATGATTGCTGTAGTCCCTTCTAACAGAAATAGTCAACTATTTTCTGTTCTATTCCACTGGCATAAATAAAAAGAGCATGAGATTGAACTTCCACCAGAAAACACACACCCATCCTCCAAGGAGTTTCTCTGATAAAGTGTTTCATGATCCAGCTCTCCAGCCCCCAGCTGATGAAATGAGAGCTGAATTAAGCAGCTTTTAGTAAATATGAGCTCACTCTAAGGTGGTGAATACCATTAACCTGTTCCAGTGGCTGACCTGTACCTGTAGGGGAAAACACACTTTTATTTCAGCAGTCAGTCAAGCTCTGGATGGATGAGGGATGTTCCTCCATGTTATCCCAGTGGCACTGAGCAAGAACTCATCCCAGCTTCATGAGAAAATTGATAACAGTCCCCTCAGGGACATTGTCCAGGCTGAGATGGGATTTTGCAATGGCTGGAGTATTTTATAGCTTGGAGGCAATCACAAGCCCTGGTCCAGGTACACTGACAGCACTGGGGCACCTCTGGAGAGGGAAATGGGGGCAACTCTGGGGAAAGCTCAAGAGGCAGTTGAACAGCAAGCAGAGCAGTCTTGGGGTCAAGGGGGAGGGTGCCTTGCATTTCACTGGGAAATGGCAAATTTGTCCTGGGAGCAGCTGAAGCTTGGGGAAATCCATCTGCTTTCTGCTCTCCTCCCTGGGCCAAGGTCTGGAGAAGGAGCCAGAGTCAAGGCTACCAAGTGTCAGGGAGAGACTTCAAGGTCCCCCTGCAGTGCAGGCTGCCCAGCTGCATGATCTCCCACCAACGCACAGGGCTCTGGCTGTCAGTTCTGTGCCTTTGGAAAAGTCCATGGCTTTGGAAAACACAGGGGAGTGATCCAGTGGTCACCCATGTCTACAGGGTTTTCATCGGGATGGGAAAGCCTGGGAGGTGATGGGGGCAAAGAAGAAGGTTAAAGCCATGTAATGACAGAGGGATGATGGGACACATTGTCCAACCTGTTTGTCCAAGGAGCAGGCGCCTCTGTGAGGTGGCCTGAGCCCTGCCATGCGCAGAAGGATGAAAGAAATGCCAAGCAGAAATGGGTCATCCTTCTCCTGGACAATTACTGTTATTTTTCTTTCTTTATTTTATAAATGAATATTATTTATGTTATCCATTAAATACTCACTAAGGAACAGGTGCTGTCTCATGTTTACTGGCTGATAGATCTCTACATTCTGCAAGCATTTTTCACCTTTAGCCAAGTCAGAGAATGGCAGGAAGGCTGGAAATGGTATGTTCTGGTGTGACTACATTACTATCTGTGGAGAATGTGAGAACAACATGTTGTGGTAAGGGATGGCAGCTGCCCATTTGTGTCCTACTGCAACTTGGGAGCTGCTGCAGGATTTTTATGGGGTCCTGAGTCATGCAAATTCACTCCTCAAAAACCATGCGCTGTACAAAACCATGTTTTGTGACCATGGGTGCATGTCAGTGGGCAAACCATGCCCACTGTGTACCCACCCATTACCTGTGACTACCTAGACAGGCTGGATGGATAGACCAATTGTGTGAGATTCAATAAGGCCAAGTGCCAGGTCCTGCCCCTGGGTCACAACAACTCCTGCAGCTCCAAATTTGGGGTAGAATGGCTGGAAAGCTGCCCAGTGGGAAAGGACCTGGGGACTGCTTGATAGGAACTGAACATGCGACAACAGCAGTTTGCCCAGGTGGACAAGAAGGCCAATGGCTTGGATCAATAATAAAAAAAGCAGGAGGATTAGGGAAATGATCCTTGCCCTGTACTTGGCACTGGTGAGGCACCTCAAGTGCTGTGTCCAATTTTGGGGCCCCCAATCCAGGAAGGAGATTGAGGTGCTGGAGCAATCTCAAAGAAGGGCAATGGAATGGTGAAAGGTCTCAGATGCATCTCCTGTGAGGAGCAGCTGAGGGAGCTGAGGGTGTTGAACCTGGAGAAGGGAAAACTCAGGGGTCTTTATCACTGTCTGCAACTCCCTGACATCACCCCCCTGAGCAGCCCATTCCAATGCGTCACTGTCTCTGGAATAACATGTTTAAGGAAAGACTGGATGTGCCACTCAGGGGTGGTGTTGGGTCATAGCTTGGACTATGATATCGTCGAAGATCTTTTACAAATCACTCGATGCTGTGATTTTGCGACCCATCCTATCCCCACCTCACCACGCGATTCCTCCCCCCGGACGGCCGCGGCGCCGGCCAGCGCGGCCCCTTTAAGGGCACGCGGCGGGGGCGTGGCACACGACGGCGCGTGCGGCGGGGGCGTGGCCCGGGGCGTGGGGGCGTGGCCTGGCGGTGCGCCGGGGCGCGGCCGGGCGTGCGGCGGGGCGTGGCCCGGGGCGTGGGGGCGTGGCCTGGCGGTGCGCCGGGGCGCGGCCGGGCGTGCGGCGGGGCGTGGCCCGGGGCGTGGGGGCGTGGCCTGGCGGTGCGCCGGGGCGCGGCCGGGCGTGCGGCGGGGCGTGGCCCGGGGCGTGGGGGCGTGGCTAACGGGCCGGCGGGGGCGGGGCCGGCGCGGCGCGCTGAGGTCAGCGCGAGCGGCGCCGTCACAAAAGGAAGTAGCGGCGGCGGGGCCGTCAGCGCGGGGAGGGGCGGGGGCGGCACCGGCACCACCGGCACCGGCACCGGCACCACCGGCGGCGGGAGCACCGGGAGCGGCACCGGGAGCGAGGAGGCGGCCGCGGCGGGGGCCGCGCCGCGCCATGGCCCAGCAGCAGATGAGCAGCTCGCAGAAGGCGCTGATGCTGGAGCTGAAGTCGCTGCAGGAGGAGCCTGTCGAGGGCTTCCGCATCACCCTGGTCGACGAGTCCGACCTCTATAACTGGGAGGTGGCGATCTTCGGGCCCCCCAACACGCTCTACGAGGGCGGGTACTTCAAGGTACGGGCCTCTCCCCGGCGGCGCGGGCCGCGGTGTGGGGCTGGGCCGGGGCCGGGCCTGCGGGAGGGGGCACGGGCACGGCCTGGGCGAGGGGGAGCCGCGCCACAGCCGCCGCTGCGCTGTGAATCTGCTCTTTCAGCCCCAAAGAGCCTCCTGTCCGAACCTCGCCGTAGTGGGAGAGTTCGCCCCTCCCGCCCCAAGCTGCCCTCTGGGCTCTGCTCTGTATGTATTTCACAGAATTGTTACGGTCGGAAGGGACCTTTGGAGATCACCTGTTCCCGTATTTCTATGTTCTTTCAGTACCTGAAGGAACTTATAGGAAAGATGGAGCGAGACTATTTACAAGAGCATTTAGGGACAGAACAAGGGGGAACGGGTTCAAACTGAAAGAGAGTAGGTTTAGCTTAGATATTAGGGCAGAATTGTTCATTGTGAGGGTGTTGAGGCAGTGGCACAGGTTGCCCAGAGAAGTTGTGGGTGCCCCATCCCACAAGTGGTCACGGCCGGGTTGGATGGGGCTTGGAGCAACCTGGTCTAGTGGAAAGTGTCCCTGCCCACGGCAGTGGGGTTGGAGCTAGATCATCTTCCAGGTCCCTTCAAACCCAAACATTTTATAATTCTGTGATGTTTAAACTAAGGGGCTTCCAAGTCATCCCTTGATAGCTTCACTTATTGATGGCTAATTCAGGGTAAGGACCGTGTTTTTTTCACAACTCCATGAGCTTCAGGGCTGTTTGGCACATTTTTTTTTCTACTCCTGTGTTCTTCCTCTCCACACTTTAAGAAGGCAGCTTTCAAAGGACTGCAGCAACACATAATGGGTGAAGGTAGATTCAATTCCTTTCTCAGCCTTCCTGTTAATACAAAAAAACTTTTGTGGTTGCTATTTCCACTCTTGTGAATTCAGCAAATAAGAAATCTGGCACAGACATCCCAGAAAAGAACTGAAGGGAGTGTACTTAAATTATCAAAACAACTGGAGGAGGACGAGTTGCGCTTTTTTCTTAAAACAGGCGATTGGAAAATCTTCATGTCTGCAGAAGATGTGTTGCATTAGGCACACTCCTCTGCACTTGATATCTGCTTGATCTCTGGCAAGATATTGTCCCTATGAGCTTGCTTCTCCTTGCAGTTAACTGTTTTAGTTGTGGCTCCTGCATCTTCTATTTCATGCCCTTTGGCTTCTCTCAAACTGAAAAAAAAATTTGGGTGATGTCTTTGCTTGACTAACATGCACCTTCAGTGCCTCTTGGCCTCCACAGGTCAAGGTTTAAGAGCTTTGTTCCACAAAACCAAAATAACCTGTAGCTTGGGGAATAATAGATTTGAGTCATGTTCAGTTTGGCCTCATTGTTTGGAAGGAAAGGAACGCTTTGGCATAAGACTTGCCTTTTGTAATGAGTTGGCTGGCTTACTCATATAGGTGTGATAGGTGTATTCTTAGACTCACCTCCATTATTACTTATTCAGGAAGTCGCTGGAGTCTTTGGTTGTCACTGGTAACAGTGTCATCTTTACATCGGAATGGTCTGGTGACCTCTTCCTGCACTTACGTTACTCATCCGTTTTTTTTTTTTTTTCAAAGAAATCATGACTGATCAAAATAGTTTTATTCGGCTGGGGAGCTCTCTGCACTGCATATTTGCAGTTGTTCCTGGAAAGAAGCTGAAGTTGCCTGAGAAGTAATTTGGGATGTGTGTTTACAAGTGTAGATTTAGGCAAGGCTCCCAGTTGCCTTACCTCAGCACTATGATTGGGTTTTTGGGTATTCGATGTCCTTGAACTGCTGTGCCTTACTTCTAAGTTCTTTTGACCAATCCTGTGATAGTTGTTTTGAGAGTGGGAAGATGAGGTCTCATGATGCTTCCACCCCTCCCCAGCAGTGGGATTCCTTTCTAGTGCCACAGCTGAAATCTCTCGTGTGTTGTTTCTGTCTAATCCTTCCTCCATGAGGAGCCCTGCATGGCGGATTTTTGTAGTTGTCTGGTCTTTGGTTATGCATCTTGACTTCTGAGACACTGAAAAAGGAAGGAGTCCTGTGAGACATGATATTCTTGGCTCTCTTTGTCCTAGGTCTTCAGATGTGTTAGACTCTGCTTATGGAATCATTTGGCGATAAAAATAATACTCTAACTTTATTTGATGGGTCACTCCTGCAATATATTAATTGTACATGCTGCTCTGAACGAGTGCTTACCTTACATGCATTTCATTTTCCATATTTCTTAATTAATTCTTTATCTTGTGTTTCATTTTCAGTTTAGTAAGGTTAGGAAAATGGGGTTAGAAAGATAAAATTACAGGATGTAACTTTTTTCAATGTCATGGCAGTGAGAGTTTGGGAATTGTGTTCCATTTGAAGCGTAATTTAACAGAAGGAATTGAAGAAATGTACCCAGGCTTCTAGTTAAGCTAGAGCACAAATATTTCAAGGAAAACTTGTGGTTAAGGTGACTTTAATAAAGAAAGTGTTTGGCATGGTTGACTGGGGAATGCTATTGCATTATTTGTGTTTTGGGAGCTCTTAGAAGTGGTCACATCAACTTTTGTCACCTTGTTTATTCTTATAGACATAAGACCTTTCTCTCTAGGTTGTTGAACTAAGTAGAATAAACTGAGATGAGGGAAGTGCTCTCTCTGCACCCCCTTGACAGCAGTGACTGTCTAAAGTTGGTTCAACAGATTCTGGTTTCAGCTGCAAGTCCTGTAGCTATAACATCTGATAAATTGAAGCAGAGAACAAGTCCCCTTGAATGTTTGTTTAAATGGTAGGTTATCAACATGCTGTCTATAATAAATTCAGGGACTTCTTAAAAATTCAAGTACAGTGCTTAAGCATATTTTATCAGCTAATACAGCATGCCCAGATATGCTGCAGTGTTTCAGGGTTTAGGCCTGCTATCTAGATCAGCCTCCAGGAGCAACAGCTATATGAAGATCAGCTTGTATCAGCAAGGGAACATGCAGCCCCCCCACCCCATTCATGTGATCAGCTGAAGGTGGACGTCTGAAGTGCAAGTTACATCAATCTTTGTCTTACCTAGCAACTGTATTCCCAGTCATGCTGAATAGCTTTGTAATGTTCTGAGCAATCCTTAAAGTTCCTGACTACATTTCTCAAGGAAGGAATTCTATGCACTGGTTACCTCTCTTCTTTGCTAGCAAGGGAAAAAAAGTTCAGGGCAGTGATGTTAGGTCTTCCAAAGAGGTTATGATAAGAGCAAATGTCTGTCCCTCAGCTGCTGGCAGTAATAAATTGCTAGTTTGACTAAAGTTCTAGTAGAATCACTTTTGTTGGGCCATGGGTATTGGACTACACTAGGTGAAATTGATGTTTAGTGCCAGACTCACTCACAGAGTGTAAAGGTGGAGTGTGGGTAGACCTTGTATGTCTAAAATGTTGCTTACATCTGATTCACTTGCTGAGTTTTTTGATTGACAAAAGGAAGATTTTTCTCAGAATGAAATGCTTTGTGTTCAGGTCACAGATAGTGACAATTGCTTCTTTCTAGGTTCAGCTTTGAAGGACTTGGTGTGCTAAGATGGGTCTTTAGATCAGATTCCACTGGGCTATATGTTAGTTCTGAATTGCTCTGGAAATGATGGAAATATTTCTGGTTTTTCATGCTGTCATGGTTTGACAAACCACGACACAGGCAGTGCTTGAGCAGCAGAGAACCAGAATGTGCCATAATCTGCAGAACTAAGTGCAAGCAGTTCATCAATGCCACTTTTATGTCATAGGCATCTTCGGTTCATCTGAAAGGATCCTTTGCTACATGGCAGAACTTCTTCATCTTTAATTTTGGCAGCTGATACATAAATGGGGATGACCACAAGAAATGTTATAATGCTGTAATCTGGGACTGATAGGTACTACATGGGACAGATCTCAGTTGCTGAGGGCTGTGCATGGTGAAGTCTTTATCATCTCCAGTTACCATTGTTCCCTATCTTGAAATCCAGTGTCTTTCTTTAATGCTTGAGCCTTCAGAGCCTGGAGGTGAACTTCTGCCCAATGCTTTGGTCAAACAGTGAATACTTGCAGGACTATTAGAAAGTATTTCCTGATGGCTTACGTGAGGTCCTGAATGTTTGGTGCAATTGTACCTTAGTGACAGAGCTTTTAATTGTTTTGAAAAAGGCAGGTCTTCTGATTTTTTCAGTTGCATGGTAAAGCAGTTGTGCTGAGAGCCAGGGTTTCAGGGAAGGTACAAGTGAGAAATTATACAAATAGAAGCTTCATTAGCACTGCTCAGAAGCATGATTTGAGCAAGTACACTGTGTCAAGAAGCATGTTCAATGTAGACAAAAAGTCAAAATTAAAAACTCCTTCAGAGGTGATTCAGGCTGGGTAAATTAAAAGGAATATATCTAGCATGAAAGGAAACAAGTAGAATTAACTACATTGTTAGAGTTACTGTTTCATAGTTCTTAAGGCAGTTTATTTCATAAGATACTTTTCCTACTTGAAGGAACAAGCCTTGACACATCAGTTGAAAGGAGAGAAAAACACCAAACATTATGATTACTTTTGTCAAGTAATTTGGGGGCTAAATACTTGTCTCAAGGCATTGTTATCATGCTTTTTGTAATTTATTAGCCCTGTACTGTATAGAGTTCTGTATTGTATCTCGGCTTCTTCCAGGTGATTTGATTTCAAAGTAACTTGCAAAATGCGTTAAGATTTCAGAGCAGGAAATAGATGGAGAACCAATTAGTTACCAATAACTGATGGCAAGAATGAGCACTATGTTGGTATTGTAGTCTACTTCTCATGAAGCTTAAAATTAAGAAAATAGGAGTCTTCCAAGCACTTAGAATTATATAATTGATGGAACATTTAATTCCACAAAAGTATCCTTAATGCCAGGATGAAAATGTTAGGTACTCTCAACACAAAAACTGCCTTCTGTGGGCCTCAGCATTGCAAGGTCCTGCAGAGTTTCTCTCTGTATATTTCATCTATTTTTGTTGTCCTTAGGAATCATTGATGCTAG